GATCCTGGTGGCAGTAACTACTGGTAAAGCCTGGAGAGTGTACAGGGAGCGTACTGGTAAAGCCTGGAGAGTGTACAGGCTTTACCAGTAGTTACTGCCACCAGGATCTCTCTTTAAAAAGTCCCCCACCAAAGATCAGGAGCAGAGATCCCAAACTCCTGCCTGATTTATGGGACTTATACCAACTTTACCAGCTCTGTACTAGGGCTGCAAACAATTAATTAACACAGTGGTAGCCTCCTTAGGCGAACGGCAGTAAGAACGCCTGCTATAACATCAATGAACAGCCACTATGGCTGTTCGAGACCCACCGCGGCCGGGGTGAGCACATGGCCCTAGTCCCAGCTCCCGCCCACCCAGCGGTTCGAAAGCATTAACATCCAGCAAGTAGATAAATGGGTACCTGCCCTAGGTGGCAGGGGGCACCCTCCTCCGGTGGGGTGTGCAGTGGAGGCATCGGCGGTGGCGGCAACAGAGCAGAGCAATGGAGTGGCTGAAAAGTGCCCTGTGAGCACAGCGTTGAGTGGCAGAATCCGGCAGAGGCGGAGTCACGGAGGTGCGGTGGCGTGTCGGCGCAGCACGACGGAGCCGAAGGGACGATGGTCGGAGTTGCGGTGGTCACGGGACCGTGCACCGGATGAGCCAGCCAGAGGAAGCTACTGGACCGGGAGAGATCTGCCCCAGGACATTGGAGGTGGAACGCCGACATCCGAGGCCGCCGGAAGGAGCCAGACAACAAGCCCTGCTGCCGGGTGCTGGTAGGAAGTCACCCCCCTCTATAAATGTGGCCCTAGTTAAAACCAAAATTGTGTGTAAACCACTCAGAGACCCTTCGGGGTTCGAGTGGTATATAAATTGAAGGATAAATTTAAAAAACATTGTTTAATTGTTGCTGAATGCTTGGTTTCTCTCCCATCCGTGGACTGGGGTGTGAGAGAGAAACCTTGACACTGTTAAAAAAAATCTTCGCTAGTCTGCATGCTAATTTAACAAGCCGCCCTCTCTATATACAACTATGATCTGTAATTCCATTTCACTGCCTGACAAAGTGTGCCTGCACATGAAAGCTCATGCCTTGAATAAAACTTTGTTGGTCTTAAAGGTGCCCCTGGACTAGCTTTAGACAAATAACAGAACAGGGCCGAACAACCAAACGGATGGACCATGCAATAAACAGGGTAAGATATAAAAGGAACACAAGCAATGAAAATGGAATAAATGTCACAGATGTTAAGGTGACTTGTTCTCTCTGATCAAAATGTCCTGCAGAACAGTTCTGTTTTATATATTGTGGGCAACCATTAAAGCGTGAGAGCTTTTTATCAGTCTTTTTATCCCGTCTGGGTCTGTTCTCAATCCACCTCCTGTGTTTTCCATTTCATTCTTAAGCTGGGGACTTTTCTTTTCATTCAGAGTTCACTGAGAAACCAGTAATTGTGAAATCGTCTGCCGTGATTTCTGGGAAGGAAGCCGTCATGACCTGCTTGGCGCCGGGGCCTTGCTCTAAGATTGAGCCTGAGATTTCGTGGGAAACGGATCTGTCAGGAAACAAAACATCTCAGTGGAGTCAACAGGACAACACGGGCAGCTGGACTTATGGGTCCAACTTCACCTTCACACCCTCCCTAAATGATCGGGGCAAACCGCTCACCTGTCGGGTCCGGTACCCTCATATACAGAAGCAAGTTGAGACCACCATCTGTCCTGATGGTGAGTAGTTCCTTTCTCTGTATACTGCCTTTTTTAATATGAACACATCTGCCTAATGGATATACACATTATGCATCTGAAGAGGTAAGCACTGATTTGCAAGTGTTCCTGCAGAAATTAATTTTGTTAGTGTTTCAGGTGCCACTGAAGTAGAGTTGCCAACCTCCAGGTGAGGCCTGGAGATCTCCCACTATTACAATTGATCTCTCGATGACAGGGATCTGTTCCCCTGGAGAAAATGGTTGCTTTGGAGGGTGGACTCTATGGCACCGTACCCTCCTGAAGTCCCTCCCCAAACCCCGCCCTCCAAAATCTCCAGGTATCTGGCAACCCTACACTGAACTCCTGTGTAATCTTCCTCCCTGAGCAGTCACCATTTTGTTTTTTTGAAGACCGGCTTTGTCTAGGGTTGCCAGGTAGCCCTGGGCCACTGGCAGCGGATGGGGTGTAGGGTTGCCAGATCCAGCTTGGGAAACTCCTGGAGATTTGGGGATGAAGCCTGGGGAGGTGAAGACAGGGACCTCATTGGGGTACAATGCCATAGAGTCCGCCCTCCAGTGCATCCATTTTCTCCAGGGGAACTGATCTCTGTAGTCTGGAGATGAGCTACAGTTCTGGGGGATCCCCAGGCTCCACCCGGAGGTTGGCATCCCTAGCTTCCTCCCCTGCCCCAATGCCTCTCAGCCCCCCTTTTGGGTGCCCTCAACATTCTCTTAGTTATGTTTCAAATCCATCTCAGACTCACAAGGCAGTGATGAATGCAACAAGCCACAGGACACCCTTTGATGTAGTGGTTTGGTGTAGTGGTTAAGTGCGCGGACTCTAATCTGGGAGAACCGGATTTGATTCCCCACTCCTCCATTTGCACCTGGCTGGATGACCTTGGGCAAGCCATAGTTCTGATAAGAGCTGTCCTTGAAAAAGGGCAGTTACTGTCAGAGCTCTCTCAGCCCCACCTACCTCACAGGGTGTCTGTTGTGGGGAGGGGAAGGGGGTTTGTAAGCCACTCTGAGACACCTTTGGGTAGTGAAGGGCGGGGTATGAATCCAATCTCTTCTTCTTCTTCTTCTTCTTCTTCTTCTTCTTCTTCTTCTTCTTCTTCTTCTTCTTCTTCTTCTTCTTCTTCTTCTTCTTCTTCTTCTTCTTCTTCTTCTATATGATGCTTTTTCTACTGCCCCCCCCCCAAGCCATGATTTCCCAGTTCTTTTCACTGGGGATGTTCACAAAGGGCTCATCTGAACAACAGAGAAGAGGAGGAGGAGGAGGAGGAAGAGGAGGAGATTGGATTTATACCCTGTCCCTGCCCTTCACTACTGAAAGAGTCTCAGAGTGGCTTACAGTCCCTTTCCCTTCCCCACAACAGATGGGTAGGTGGGGGCTGAGAGATCTCTCTCGAGAACTGCTCTCTCTCAAGAACAGCTCTGAAAGAACTTGTAACTGACCCAAAGTCGCACCAGAAGCCGCATGTGGAGGAGTGGGGAATCAAACTCTCCCAGATTAGAGCCCATGCTCCTAACCACTACACCAAACTGGCTCTCAGTACACCAAACAGCTCAACGGGGTAATGTTGTTTTTTTCTCATTTCAGCAACCCATCTTCAGTTTGGGTGGCCTTCGGTCACCCTCGTCCTGGTAATCCTGTGCTTGATCAAGTAAGTCTCTCTCCTTCAGTCCAGGGGGGTGGGGCGGGGCACTTTGACCGAAAGGCAGTAGAGCGATCAATGAAACCAGCATTGCAATAAGAATTTCTCCAGATCTGCCCTAAATCTTCTGGAGCCAGTCTGGGCAGTCGCGCTGTCTGGCTAGTGACTCTTTTCTCTTGAAATCTCCTTTGCAGGGTTTTGTTTTGTTCCCTGTTCTTCTTCTCGGTCATTTGGTGTTCGAACCGGAGGAAGGCTCCGTCGGGAAGGAAGTAGCAGATGATGAAGGTGGTGCAAACCGGATGGATCGACCACAATTCCGTTGCTCGGGGAAGGCAAGAGCACCTCCTTACTCCTCTGCACTGCTGCATCCCCTCAGCCTGTGGACTGAAAGCAGAGTTTGGCTTTCCAAACTGGCGCTTAGCATCTGGAGTTCTTGTACAATCAGCAGTCGGTTTTATTTTAATTAAAGGTCTTTTTCCAGGGTTTTTTTTTTGTATTTTTTGTGTGTGTACGCACCTGGAGCTGCGGTGGCTCAAGTGGTTAAGACGCTGAACTGCAGGCTGTGGAAGGTCAGTAGTTCAGCAGTTCGAGACCCGGGTGCCGCATGATGGAGTGAGCTCCCGTCTCTAGTTCCAGCTCCTGCCAACCTAGAAGTTCGAAAGCAAGAAATTGCAAGTAGATAAATAGGTACCACTTCGGTGGGAAGGTCTCAGCGTTCTGTGCGCCTTGGTTGTTTAGTCACGCCGGCCACATGACCACGGAAATGTCTTCGGACAGTGCTGGCTCTTTGGCTTTGAAACAGAGATGAGCACCGCAACCCTAGAGTCGGGTTCGACTGGCTTTCGAGCAAGGGAACCTTTACCTTTACTTACGCTCCTGGAAGCCATGGCGACTGACCCCTACTGGGGGCCTGGGGGATATTACGAGAGGGGGCTGAATACAGCCTGCCCCTGTCCTCCCGCCTCTGGTATTCCAAGGAGGTCTCCCATCCAAGGACTTGCCAGAGCCGACCCTGCTTAGCTTCTGAGATCTGACAAGATCGGGCTTGCCTGGGCTGTCCAGGTCAGAGCTATTTTAGTTAAAGGTCTTGTGGGGTTCAGAATGAACCTGTAGAGCAAGCGCTATACCTAAATGGGAGTCGAGTCAAAGAGGCTTGTAAAGGCAAAGGACGCCAAAAGCACTGCAATTGTGCAGAGTTCCTGGACTGTCAGAAGGCAGGCCGACATGTACTGGCTTACATTTCTATGGCAGGTGAAAATCTCGGCTAGAAGAAGAGTGCACTTATTTTCCTGTTTATCAGTTTATTACTGCCAGTACCCTGGTAAATGTCACTGTGATCCGGGAGACCTTTTGAGGAATGACGGTTGTTTGTAGCTCCAGCATATTTTTTAATTTGGCAAAATGTATTCTTTAGGGGTCCACTTACCTTTATCACTCATGGTCATGGTAAACATCTTCCCATCTCCCTCTAAACCTTTGTCTCTTCTTCCTAAATATCCTTGCCCCATCCATGATGAAGCATGATTTATAAAAGGTGGCTAAAGAATACTAAGCATCCTAATAAAGTACAAAAATCAAATAGCCGGTCATTAACAACCCAATGCCAGGTTCCACTGGTTTTAGACATAGCCACAAGGGGGCAGGGATGAGCAGGTGGAAAAGCTCATCTCCAAATGGCGAACTCTCCCCAGGCAAAGTATGCAATTTCTTTAATTTCTTTAGTTTTTACACACACTGACTTCAAGCATTTTCATTCTACCTCTCAGGGCTTTTTTTTGTAGAAAAAGCCCAGCAGGAACTCATTAGCATAATAGGCCACACCCAACAGCAGAAACTCATTAGCCTAGTAGGCCACACCCCTGATGGCACATTATATTAACATATTAGGCCACACCCCCATGTTGCCAGAAGTGTGGTCATCCAGCCACACCCACCCTTTGCTTCTTATTTACCTTGTTGTCAAAACCCAGGGCTTTTTTTGTAGCAGGAACCCTTTGCATGTTAGGCCACACACCCCAGTGTAGCCAATCCTAATGAGTTTCTGCTGTTGGGTGTGGCCTGTTATGTTAATGAGTTCCTGCTGGGTGTGGCCAACTTGGGAGCCAGCCGGAACTCCGTTCCTGTGCGTTCCTGCCCCAAAATAGCCCTGCTACCTCTTTCCAGTAAGCATGCTTGCATTTCAGTTGTTCCTTTGCCAGCATTTCACCCCCACCTTCTCCGTATGTATGCCATTTGTCGACTCTTAGACTTTGTAGATTTTTTTTACGCCAAAACAAAACACAAATGCAGACAATCAATTTTGCCAGTGGGGTTTCTACAAGATTTCATTAGTGGGGCTGGCTGGGAGGAAAGATGACTACAACATTTCAGACTGAGCAGAAACCGCCTCTAAAACTGGAATTGTCGAATCCAATCAGTGCATTCATAAAATTATACTGCTAAAGTAAATATGCATCAGTGGGGAAAGGACTGGATCTTTTCCCAACACGGACATTTTTGCATTGTTCCCAAGAGGACCTGGCCACTGCTACACATGTCTCAGTAGCAGCAAAATCAAGCTGTCGTGCTGTAACTCTAAGGCTGTTTTTCAGGAAACAACAGTTGGTGTAAAATGAAGCTGACAGAACTGAAACTGGAGTTTACTGTATGAAACATGTACCTCTGGTAGGGTTGCCAAGTCTGGGTTGGAAAATACCTGGAGACTTTGGAGGTGGAGCCAGGAGAGGGCGGAGTTTGGGGAGGGGAGGGGCCTCAGCATCGTACAATGCCATAGAGTCCACCCTTCAAAGCAGCCATTTTCTCCAGGGGAGCTGATCTCTTTCGGCTGGGGATCAGTTGTAAAAGCGGGGAGTCCCCAGGCCCCACCTGGAGGCTGGCAACCCTAACCTCTGGTGCTGTTCTGTCTTGAATGACTGCCAGTCAGTTTTGGGGCCATATTTAGGCTGATGGTTTCAAATGCAGAAGCCATAAAGGTTCTAGATTACGTTAGCGCACACAGAGATGTCTGATAATTGGCCAGAGATGGAATAATCGGGGGAGTGGGGGGGAGAGACCTTACCTTCTTTGTGGGTTGGCTCAGAATTATACACAGTCCTGATTTTCATGTGGAACCTCCCCTTACACCAGATAATGAAGCTGAAGCTCAAATACTTTGGCCACCCAATGAGAAGGGAGCACTCACTGGAGAAGACCCTGATGCTGGGAAAGATTGAAGGTCAAAGAAGACGGGGACGGCAAAGGGTGAGATGGTTAGACAGTGTCATAGATGCAACGAACATGAAATTGATCAAACTTCAGAGGATGGCGGAAGACAGGAGGGCCTGGCAAGATCTTGTCCATGGGGTCGCGAAGAGTCGGACTCAACTGTGCAACTGAACAACAAAAAGTACAAACCTGCTTGGGCCTTAACTGTTGTAGATGGTTTTAAGTGTGCTATTTGGTTTTATTTTTAGCATTTCTTATGTGACTACCTTGTTTTTAATTGATGACTGTTACACTGTGTAATACATGTTTTGTTATATTTTTTAAGTTTGTTGTACTCGGCCTTTTGAGTACCCACCTTGTAACGTGGTTGGATTTCTTCCCCCTTTTTGTTTTTGCTTCTAGATCCAAGATCTCCACAGGATCACCTCCTCCTGTATGAACTTGCATGCACCTTTACTGGGGGAGGGACCGTGGCTCAGTGGTAGAGCATTTGCTTTGCATGCAGAAGGCCGCAGGTTCAATCCCTGACATCTCCAGTTGAATGGACCAGGCAGTGGGTGATGTGAAAGATCTCTGCCTGAGACCCCGGAGGGCAACTGCCCCTTTGAGTCGACGATACTGACCCTGATGGACCAAGGGTCTGATTCAGCGTATGGCATTGTCACGTGTTTCCAATCTGTATTAAGATGAAGGCTCAGTGCAAGTGCAAATGCAAATGCAAATGCAAACTTCTATGACCAGCAGCAATTCTCATACACTGAGTTAACCATGACCTCCATTTACTGGGTCATTATCAGGCTCTACCTTGACCCAGAACTAGAATGGAATGGAACCTCACCAGCTGAGAAAGGTTCCCCCTACAGCCCTTACCATACCTGTACGGAATAGCCACCATTAAGCCTTTATGTCATTGGTGTTTATCATTTTGCTTAGGCTGTAAGTTGTGGCAGGCCCCTGGCCCAGCCTGCTAAAAGCAAGGTGCGAGCCAGTTTGGTGTCGTGGTTAAGTGCGCGGACTCTAATCTGGGAGAACTGGGTTTGATTCCCCACTCCTCCACTTGCACCTGCTGGATGACCTTGGGCAAGCCATAGTTCTTGCACAGCTGTTCTTGAAAAAGAGCAGTTTCTGTCAGAGCTCTCTCAGCCCCACCTACCCTACAGGGTGTCTGTTGTGGGGAGGGGGAGGGAAAGGAGTTTGTAAGCCACTCTGAGATTCCTTTGGGTAGTGAAGGGCAGGGTATAAATCCAATCTCCTCCTCCTCCTCCTCCTCCTCCTCCTATCCCTCTTTCCATCTACTTTTTTGTTTTCTTTAATTTTGCATTTCCTTTTACAAAAATATCTGTTGTAAACCATACCTGTACGGAATAGCCTTTATGTCATTGGAGTTTATCATTTTGCTTAGGCTGTAAGTTTTGGCGGGCCCCTGGCCCAGCCTGCTAAAAGCAAGGTGCGAGCCAGTTTGGTGTAGTGGTTAAGTGCGCGGACTCTAATCTGGGAGAACTGGGTTTGATTCCCCACTCCTCCACTTGCACCTGCTGATGTGACCTTGGGTCAGTCACAAACTCTGGCACAGCTGTCCTTGAAAAAGAGCAGTTTCTGTCAGAGTTCTCTCAGCCCCACCCACCTCACAGGGTGTTTGCTGTGGGGAGGGGAAGGGAAAGGAGTTGGTAAGCTGCTCTGAGACTCCTTTGGGTAGTGAAGGGCGGGGTATAAATCCAATCTCTTCTTCTCTTCTTCTTCTTCTTCTAACTACATCTACCTGTGATCTTTGTCTGTTAACAGAACTGGCCTGGAAGTCTCCTTAAGTTGTTTCAACTTACTGGTGCCAATTAGCTAAGAGTGTCCTGATTGGCCAATGGGTTTGTGGGCTGAGGCAAGGACATCTGAAAACATTGCCTCACCCGGAAAGCGGGAAGCCGGCTATTCTACCAACAGGTGAGAAGAGGCTACATCTTCCATCCCTCCAACAACACGGACTGTCTGGCACTGGACGGACTTACTCTCTCAAGCCTGCAAGCAAGAACCACACGCTGGACCTGCATCGGACAAGCTAGCCAGCGAGCTTTTAATGTATAGGGTCTGCGGTGGCTCACTGGTTAAGATGCTGAACTGCAGGCTGGGGATGTCCAGCAGGTGCAAATGGAGGAGTGGGGAATCAAACC